ACACACACACACGTTTCTGTTCTAATAAAAGAACTCCCCCACTGCACAAAAGTGTCCCAACTGCACAGTATCTCCCATAGTATTGAATTCTTGTCTCCCACAAATTAAATGATGTATTGAGTGACAGCGTGTCTTCGTACAGCAACTACAACACACACAGTCAGCTATCTGTGATGTCATGTATGATTTTGTTTGTATCACCTCCTCTGCAGGTGGCTGCTCTGGGCATCCTGCATTAACGCTGCCAGGCGAAGTCCCAGGAGAGTCCTCGGTGTGTCCCTACTGCATCTACTACAATCAACTTAGTGACAGTGAAAATGTTAACGAGCAGCCCGAGGACCAGCAGCTCGGCCACAGCAACTCGTGCCCTGGCAACAGCCCTTGTCACAGTAACAGCCCGTGCCAGTGTAGCAGCCCCTGCCGCGGTGATGTACAGGTGTCGGAGCCAAAGAAGAGGCTGCTGGAGCGCTGCTGGGCGGGCTTCCGCAACAAACTCAAAGTCATTGTTGCCAGCAGATACTTCAACAGGGGGATCATGATTGCCATCCTCATCAACACGCTGTCGATGGGCATAGAGTACCACGAACAGGTACGTCTGCCTGCGAGCGTAAGAGGCTGCATGTTTGCGTGAACACGTGCGCAGCTATGTGCGTGCCTCTCGCAGATTGATTGTGATGACAGTTTGATTGAAAATGGATGTGCTAATCACTAGATGTGGTGGAGTCAATAAGCTTACCCTCCAATCAACACTTACAGCGAAAGCATATGGGATCCTGTGGGTGTGTATCTGTGTGTGTGTGTGTGTGTGTGTGTGTGTGTGAGGCCGTGTGTAGGTGTGCACACATGTATCAGGAGATGGAGAAACTCATAAGACCTGAAGTGTTAATTAAAGCGTGACCCTGGGACAGGAGAGAGAATGAGCGGCATAAAGACGGGGCAGAGTGAGTGAAGCGAGCGAGGAGGAGGAGGACAGATCCGACACTGTGATTGGCTGAAAGGCAGCGATAGACTGTGGGTGGGAGACGGGCAGATTGCATTTGGCCCATTTCCCAAACAATATGACAGATCAAGATGGCCTTAGATTCCTAAATGACTAATGTTAAAGGATAAAGCCGGACCTATTTAGCCTTTCTTATAGTATCAAAAAAAAACCTGAGGAGACTAAAACCAACAATGAAGCAATATGAATGAATATAATCACATATGAATGTGCAGCCAAAGCCTCATATTGGTTTTCTCCCTCTGTGCTATAGAAACATATTATATGCAAAGATTTTTAAACACAAATAAGAGCAGCACAGTGTCAGCGGGCGATGCTCCATCGTTTCAGTGAACGTGATGAGTGCGGTTTAGTTCCAAACACCTCAGAGACTTTGTGATCTCTGGAGAGCGGCGCTGTGTCAGGCAGATGTCACCGAGCATGCTCAGAGGCTCTGCGCCTTGTTTTCACAGCTTCTCTTGTTTACAAGCCGAGCGGAGTAAACCACAGTGGCTGTGTTCTCACTAATAAAGACATGGCACCCAGCGCCATGACAGAGGACTTTTATGTGTTTTTAATAACATAGGTTTTGTTCAACAACAGGGCAGCGACAAAGGCTGTGTTCGACTTAATCAGACAATAGACTGCTGATAATATTAACCCTTGTTAACATCATTATATAACACTTTGTTATTTGCACTCATCCACTTTTCTTTCCTTTTTAGATTTAGTTTCTTTTCCTCTGACCTCTCCTTTCACCCCAACCTGAGCTTTTACATTCGATGATTATCTTAATAATATTGAGTGTTTTTGTGTAAATGGGCGACAAAAGGACAATTATTCATGATAGATAGATGATAGATACTTTGTCCAAATTGTTTGATTTTAGCTGGAGTAAAAGCAGCTCACCTGGCTCCATGAAGCAGCAACTAAACCAACCGACCATCTGAAACTCCCAAATTAACACTTTACATCTCATACAAATCCTGAAGTGTAAAAACGACACTGAGCTGTTTTACAGGGCTGATATGCAGGAACATTTCGTGGCTGGGTGTAGAAACCTCCTGGAGTTTCTGACTGTAGATCAAATTCTCCGCCATGCAGGCAGTGAAAAAGTACTAAAGTATTCCTGGGGTCTGATTCAATCCTGGTTAAATTAATCTTGAATCTTTCACACAAAGTTATTTTCTAATGATTCAGGTCAACTCAAATCTGATGTGCTAAACTTTCCTCCCAGTCGTGTTTTGTAATCCCCTCAGTTTGAGAAGAACTGATTAAGGTCATGTCAATAATACTGGGGATGTCGTAGTTCAGAATGTGGAAAACAAAAAAAGTGTGCTGTAAACATGTAGTATTTATAGTGTTTCAACAAATCTCCACGCCTCTCTCTAATATTTATATTTTAACGAAGAGCAAAGAAAAAGGATCAGCTGTGACAGACACAAATAATTCAAAACATTTTAAAGGTTCACATTAAAAGCTGCTGATTAGAGCTGATGACTGTCTGAGTTCAGACTTGAGGTGGCATTCACGTGAATTTTCAGTCGGTGACAAATGTTTCGGATTATTCTGCAAGCGTTCATGCTCATCACTACTCAGAGTGGCTAAAAACACACCTTCATTTATGGGGCAGCTCCTCTGTGTATATTCAAGACTAAATCCACATAGACCAACAGTACCTTTGAGTAGTACTTTATAAATTCCCTAGATGCTGAGTTTACAGTGCTCTGCTCTGTCAGTCTGTCTGCCTCTGTTTATTTGTTCATTCCCTCTGTGCTTGTCCGTCTCTGTACATCAATCTCTTCTCTCTTTCCACAAACTTTGCACCTCCTCAGCCGCAGGAGCTGACGGATATTCTGGAGATCAGTAACATGGTGTTCACAAGCCTCTTCAGTCTGGAGATGCTGCTGAAGCTCATGGCTCTCGGCCTCTTCGGCTACATCAAGAACCCGTACAACGGCTTCGACAGCATCATCGTCATCATCAGGTGGGGGAACTGGCGGCGTGTTTGTCCTTGTGTTTAACCCCAAAATGGGAAATCTGTCCTTAAATGTTCCCTCTGTCATTTTAAAAACATTTGAGTCAGCACTGCAGTCACATCCCCCTGACTGTCACAGCCTCTAGTACTGAAGCAGTTGCACCCCCAGTCCAGCAGCAAGCCTGCATTCACTCCATTATGTAGTACTACAAGCTAAATTATGTATCTGCACTTGAAGGCCCCGCTTGTTTACTGTGCACGCTGCTCTCACCTTCTTCACTCACTGCTAAGCTCTCGACAGCGTTCGCCCGTTTCCTCTTTTCAGTTGCCACATGTCAGGAGAAAAAGACTTTAGCACCTTCTCTACCTGGAAGGGAGGCTTTTCCAGGGCGATAGTGATGCTGACTTAAAGAGAGTTTCATCTGAGGTTAAGTCGGCATTGATCCCCCCCCCTCGGTTGCTTTATTGTGTGAATCAAGCTTTGTGTTTGTAATCGGCTTGTCATCTCTGTGTGTTTTAGTGTGTGGGAGATTGTGGGGGAGGCGGAGGGAGGCTTATCGGTGCTGCGTACCTTCCGCCTGCTGAGAGTTCTGAAGCTGGTCCGGTTCCTTCCTGCCCTGAGGAGGCAGCTGGTGGTGCTGATGAAGACCATGGACAATGTGGCCACGTTCTGCATGTTGCTGATGCTCTTTATATTCATATTCAGGTACAGTGTGTTCAAAGGCGTCGCTGCAGGGTGAGACTCACCAGCCAGAATGATTCTGCAGCTTTTTCTTGAATTTAATTAGGCTGATTATTTCTTAGAAAGATTAGAATCGGGACATATTAGAGGTGTATCATAACCTTTCATACAAACACAATTATTCACAGACGGCATTACTGCATCTTGTTGTATCAGTGTATTTTTTTATTGTTTTGTGTGTGTGTGTGTGTGTGTGTGTGTGTGTGTGTTGCAGTATCTTAGGGATGCATCTGTTTGGCTGTAAATTTGGTTTGCGTCAGGACAGCGGAGACACTTTACCGGACAGAAAGAATTTCGACTCTCTGCTCTGGGCGACTGTCACCGTGTTTCAGGTTGGAAAAACACACAAATACAATCAGATGTGCACGAGAACTCAGCAAATACACTGAGAATATTCGGTTTAAACGAACGTCCCCATCGACGTATTACTGTTAAATTTGATTTGCAAATTAATTGGGACGAGAGTCAAACAGCAGCTGCTGCTGTCACTGGCATTCGTCCTGACAATCTCCTCCATTACTTCATTTGCTCCAATTTGGAAACGCTGATGCTCCATTTTTCTACAACATATAAAACCTCTCCCAGTGGGCAGGTAAGCTACACTTCACGAGCGAGCGCCGGGTGAGGAGGAGAAATGAAACACGCGCTCCACAGGAGCTCGTTTAACACTGATGAGCATCATTACTGTTCAGCTGACAATGAGATGTTAAAGGAAGAGTACTCTCTTATTCTTCTGATTATACCGACTTTCATGGATTTTAGAGGGGGAGATGTGGATGACTAACAGTTACCTGACACCACTGGTGGATTGAGAATTGATATTTTACAGTTAAACTATAAACTATGGTATAAATAAACATGTTCTACTGTTGCAATAAACATTTGAACGTGAGTTGTCTGACTGAAATACAACTAAATATAGAAGTAGAATGAAGAAACAGAAATACACATCTTCCTGTCTTTATTTATTCTATATTATTTTCAGTTGCAAACAAATACTTTTATTTCTGTGAACCAACAGATATATTGGTCGGGCTCTGAAACAGCTATTTGAAATGTGGTTTGGATTTCTAGTCCATTTTGTGTTTGACTTCCTCCGCTGCCTCTCATCCCATCTGCAGATCCTCACCCAGGAGGACTGGAACGCCGTGCTCTATAATGGGATGGCCTCCACCACGCCGTTGGCTGCCCTCTACTTTGTCGCCCTCATGACCTTTGGCAACTATGTCCTCTTCAACTTGCTCGTAGCCATATTGGTTGAGGGCTTTCAAGCTGAGGTGAGGGCAACGATGCAGTTTTGTTTGAGCCGCTTAGAGAACGAGGCACAGAGAACAGGACTAATTGAGCTCTGGCGTTCTGATGATACCAAAGCTCCTACAAGAGAATAATCTCCTCCATCCTGCCTGTGTGGTTTCTCCTTTCACTCTCTATCCACCACTCTCTTTTCTCTCGTTTTGTCGTTTTGTTTCTCAGTTATTCTTGCTTTCTATCCCCTTTTCTCTCTTTCTTACACACACACACGTACACACACACACGCACACAAACACACAAACACACAAACACACGCTCACTCTCCAGAGTAGGGATGTGTTTGATATCGCCTGCCATTCACAGTTGGTGAGCTTTTGTTGTTTAGTTTTCATCTTTTATCTCCAGCATCAGAGAGCACTTGCTCTCTCTCTCTTTCGCTATCACAAACACACACGTGTGCGCGCACACACACACATACACACACACACACACACAAAAATACCCTTTGCCAAAGCCGTCTGCCTCCATCTTTCTGGCGTGAATTTTAATTAAATTCAGTAAAGCTTTATTGGCGTGACTACAGGAGATCGCTGCCAAAGCCATGCACATAACTCAACTAGAGAGCACTGGAGATCCCCTCCACCCTTCTGCCTCCCGCTCTTTGTCTCTCGGTCCCCCCCTCCCGACTCCCACTCCCATTATTCACTTTTACAGTCACCAAAGAGTGACTAAACGAAGGTGATGATGATGATGATGATGAGAATGGAGATAACGATGATGGTGGTGACCCCATTTTGTGTGTGTGTGTTTTTAGGGTGATGCCAACAGATCGGAGGCAGATGACGAGAGACAGTCACTCTCTTTTGAGGACGAGGAGAAGTTGAGAGAGATATATGCTGCAGGTACAAACTCTTAAATCATCTTGGACACGGAATACAAACTCCGCTACAGTCGCCTTAAAGGATATTTTCCTCTTTGTGGTTGGAGTAACCTTCCCAGTTTGTAATCCGAATGTCACTCAGTGGATCGAAGACCTCCACCAAGGCCCAGGAGTCGACTTAAATTCAGTCAAGCTGCACCACATTTCACACAATCACAGATATCAGTCTCTAAAAATGTCAGATTTTTTTCATCAAGATCCACAAATTATTCCCTGGGAAGAGGTGAGAATGTCAAAAAATGATCTATCGCACAATGTTAAAGAAAGTGATAAAGAAAATCCCTGGAACCGCCCCTTCATCTGGAGCCAAGCCAAAACGTAATGGCTTCTGTCTTGGCCCACGACCCTTTGTTCCAACAAGTTTCATGGAAATCCTTTCACACTGAAATTGACTAGATCTGCACCACATTGCACAAACACATAGATGTCAGTCCCTTAGACATGCCTGATTTATTTACTCGAGATAAAAAAATTCCCCCAGGCTCCATTGTTTAAACACAACCTGTCACAAGATCAGACAGTTCATCAAAGTTATTTGGAAGAGAGAAAAAATGGGAAGAGTCCAATTATCAAAGACGCTTTTATGCTTTTAATGAAGTTTCATATTACACATTATATTTATGTTTTCCTGTTTAGAGGCCAAAAGGTTAACTGATCCGTTTCACACTTTTAATTTGGAGCCTTTCCCATGTTTATTCATTTAAGAAAACTGCCTGTTATTTTTTCAAGTATTTGTAAAGTTGTCATGGCTGAAAATTTGGCAGGAATTGTACATTTTCAACAACAAATTTCAAAATGCTCATTGTGTGTGTGTGTGTGTGTGTGTGTGTGTGTGTGTGTGTGTGTGTGTGTGTGTGCAGAGCTCAAGATCCAGTCTATGATGCTGAGCCCCAATGGTCTCCTGAACCCAAAGGCCTCCATGCCCCACCTCCCTCCTCCCCCTCTGCCCGTCATCACGCACACCGCAGCCACGCCCACCATCAATTCCGGCCAATCGCGGCGGGCGAGCATGGCCTCCATGGATTTCAACAACCCTGAGCTGAGATCACCGGTGAGCCTGAGTCATCACTGCGTTATCTGTCGTTCATTAAGTTTAGTGGAGCAGTCAGACAGAGAATGTTTGGATATATCCCAAAGTTCAATCCGGGCTGAGCGCTGATTCAATTTGGTTAGAAAGACGACACATGATGCTATTTCAGTTTCTCTCTCTGTGTTTGAAAGTGAACTTATACTAATTGGGCTCAGATAACTTTTCCATGGGTCTGTTTCTGTTCAACAATTTGAAGACCTCTGGCATGCACTTTGCATTTCCCACCCTCTGGAGTCAGTAGAGGTCTGTTGTCACTGTGGATAATTTTGGTGTTCTGATGTTTCCTGTTTCAGTTGATTTACAGTTTTACCTTGTTTCCAGAGTTATGCAGGTGCATTGAACTGTCATCCTCTCTGGATCTGGTTTCACACCACACATTGTACAACATAAGCACAGAGAAATATGTGTTCTTCCTCTCTCCCAGTCTGCTGGATTTCTGCGACTCTGACACATTTTAGTTCTTCTTAAAAAGCTTTTTCTTGAATTGTATTTTACCCTCCTGTCCTCCCGTGCATGATTTGTACTGATACACTTAAAGGGATAGTTCACCCAAAAATGAAAACTCACTCATTTTCTACTCATCACTGTGTCGATGGAGGGGCCGGTGAAGTGTTTGAGTCCACAAAACTCTTTTGGAGTTTCAGGGGTAAACAGTGTTGGAGCCAAATCCAGTCCAGTTTAAATAAATGGTGACTTCACTTGTTCCGATGTGAAGAAACAACAGAAAAGAACTGAAAATGCTTCCATACTGCTCCTGTGGTGTCATCCAAGTGTCTTAAGCCCAGAGATTCAAATGCGACTCGAAGCAGCGTTTTTTACATCGTGTTTTTAGCCTAAATGTCCGCTGATATCCTCCTCCTTGTAACTTGCTGATCTCATTTTGCAATAACTTTTGAGTATCATGAGAACTAGCAATAGCTGCACTTCTAATTTGTGAAGAATAACATTTTTTATTGCATTTGAAATACCCTTCAGAAATCCCACTTTGTGTTACTGTTACTCGCAGACTCTGTGGGACAGCGGGCCGGAGAGCCGTCGCTCAAGCTGGACGAGCATGGGTCGAGCCCCCAGCCTCCACAGGAGGAGCCAGTCGGGGGAGATGGAGTCCCTGTTGTCCGACACACACTCAAACTCCAACTTCAGCAGCAGGGAGCAGTCTCTGGACCAGGCCGACTACCTGCAGGTGCCCATGCTTCACACGCCCGACTGCAACGGCACCACCTTCAGACTCGCTGACAACTGCTACGACGACGCCCCCCTAACGACGCAATACCACAGTGACCAGGAGGAGGAGGAGGTTGAAGAGGTGAATCTCTGGGCATTTGTTTTGCGTATTTACAATCAACAAAATATAGATTAGGTTGGTTTTATGATTCAGGTTTATCTGACAAGGAAAATGAATTTCACATGTTCAGGAGTTCAAAAACTGTTGTTAACCATCTTCACTGAGTAAACTTTAAATTATGTTTAAACCAAATTATACTTAATTAGTTGGATGTAAATTATAAGAAAAGCTGCTGTACGTCTTAAAACGTAATAATAATTCAGACATTGATCTCATAACGTTGAAAAACTAACATTGCATTTAATAAGTGTGTGTGTGTGTGTGTGTGTGTGTTCCTTCCAGAGTTTATGTAAGAAGGTAAAGAAGATCCTGGAGCCATATCAGCCCCAGTGGTGTCTGGAGCACGAAGAGTGGTCCCTCTATGTGTTCTCTCCTCATAACCGGTACACACACACACACACACACACACACACAGCCCCTGATACTCTCCTGATTGGCATAGGTGGCTTAAACCACGGCATGTGTGATAATTCACAGTTGAGGTGTGAAGGTTGAGGCAAAAGCCTCAGACGTATAATTTTCACTTTTATCAATTAATGGTGGCAGCGATGCCGGGTGTGTGTTATAATTACAAACCCTGACGCTCCCTCTGTTTGTGTCTCTTCAGGTTCAGGGTGTGGTGTCAGAGGGTCATAGGTCACAAGATGTTCGATCACGTTGTCCTCCTCTTCATCTTCCTTAATTGTATCACCATTGCACTGGAGAGACCGGACATCCAGCCGCACAGCATGGTAGAAAACACACACAAACACATGGATTCACTTGTTGCACTAATTAGCATCATGCATTTCCTCATGGCTCTGTACAACATGCCTGACCCCAGGCCATGAGCCGAACGTAATGGTTGAACTGAAACTGCCTCACTTCTCTTTTGTGATTTCCATAATCAATATGTGTTTATGTTGTTTTGATGCATTTGTATTCCTAATGTAAAGTGCTATTCACTACGCCACAGCCAAATGTAATTTAAGGGGTTTTAATGGACATTGATCTCTTGGATGAAGAGGAAAGATGAGTGGTTGTTGAGGGAAGGGACAGAGGTGAAGACGTGTCTGAGAGGACGCGTTGAAGTGCAGGTGGAATGAGACTCAGTGTGGGGATTGTGTCTCGAGCCTAATTCCACCTGAGCTGATTACGGGTCCCCCAGACAGTACTACGTAGATTTTGAGACGTATGCACTGAACTGAATAAGAAGGGATGAGGGATGGAGGGAAAGGAGGATGAAAGGATGTGGCAAGGGATTAGATGAGGTGAGTGGATGGAGGGAATGGAAAAGGTGGGTCGAGGAATCTGAGACACAGCGAGATGGATGTATAAATATAGTCTCTATATTAAGATGGACAACATGTCTCCACTTCCTCCCATTGAATAATAATGGTGGTGCCATCCATTCCACTGACAGAATGTTTAATAAAACATTTATTTTAATATTATTTAAATGTATTTGCGGACTTTTTGCATAATCCTGCTGACTAACAAATAAACAAACCAATTAATAGGACCGAAAACACAACCTCCTTGACAGGGATAAGAACCCCTCGAAGGCATTATCATGTGAGGTATGATATTAATGTCAATTTTTGTTAAATATAGGCACATTAACTGCAGAGATATGGATCGCACCGGCAAAAATAGACCAGACATGAAAAGAGAGAAGAGCCACAAATAAGAGTGAGATGTCCTCATCATTGTTAAGGCGGACATTAACACCAGCAGCTGCCAGAATGAATTGGACACTGAGAATAATTCTCTAGAGGCTGAAAGGAAGCAAATCTCTGCAGCCAAGTTCCAAACCAATGAATGTTCATAAAGATGATTCTTCCCGCTACGATGAAGCCAAAATATCCTGGATAGGAACGCTGCCATCTAGTACTGATGGTCGACCAATCACGAGTCAGTCTCAGCCGTCAATCATGACTCAAGTGTGATAATGTAAAATAAGAAACAACTGTTTACATGTGTTTTGACTTTTGTTTTGGCCCAGGTCCCATCTGCTAACAAGGAGCAGGCTGGGTTTATGACCTGTACTGCAGCCAGCCACCAGGGGGGAGCTGTCATGTTGTCCATCTGTATATACACTTCTCTGGTCTATTTATATAGATGTATATGTAGGCTACAAGTTAACGGCTAGTTCACTTCATTACAAAACAACCTGCGTCACCTTAAGCTAAATCAAATTTGAACCCCAACTCAATTTAAAATCTCAAGCAGCTCTTTAAAACAGAAAAGCTGTATCACACACAACAGGGTTGTTCTCACACACGCTCTGATGTAAGAGCAGAATCATGGTAACAACATGCGCAGCACTGTAACACATTGAAATGAGCTGCAGAGCAGAATCAAAGCTAAAGAAGCTACTGGGACACAAAAGCTTTTAACTGACGAACGTGCTTCTCTGTGCACACTCTCATGTGTGTGTCTGTGTGTGTCTGTGTGTGTCTGTGTGTGTCTGTGCGACAGGAGCGGGTGTTCCTCAGTGTGTCCAATTACATCTTCACTGTGATCTTCGTCGGCGAAATGATGATCAAGGTAACCATAACAATGCACAAGTTTTCCGAACAGCTCCTTCACTCAACAGTCATTTTCCCATCTTCACTTTCAAAAGGGCAATTTTCTTCTTGGACGGAGATTAGAATTGCCCTCAGCCTCCTATTATTCTATTTTCTCAGTAATTATTGTCGGATGGATGTGTGTCTGCATGTGTGTGTTTGACAAGGTGGTGGCTATGGGCCTGTACTTTGGAAACGGCGTGTATCTCCAGAGCAGCTGGAACATTTTGGACGGGCTGCTGGTGTTTGTGTCGATGGTGGACATCCTGGTCTCCATCGCATCGTCAGGTGGTAACCGGATCTTAGGCATCCTCCGGGTGCTCCGTCTGCTCCGCACCCTGCGACCTCTCAGGTATGAGAGATTTTCTCCCGTGTTTGTTCCCTTGTGTGTACAGTGTATATTAATGTGTGTCTGTGATTGTGTGTTTTGTGTGTTTTACAGGGTGATAAGTCGAGCGCCAGGTCTCAAACTGGTGGTGGAGACTCTCATCACGTCCCTCAGACCCATCGGTAACATCGTCCTCATCTGCTGTGCTTTTTTCATCGTCTTTGGAATATTAGGAGTCCAGGTAAACATTTGAACTCTATATGTTCCCTCCTCATCAACTGCTGCTCGTTCAGCATTTAAGTTTAAACTTATTGTCACAGTGTTAAATGTCACCAAATATCCGAAGCTTGTGTTTACCTCTGCGGGACGACACTGATCACCGCGGTTTAGAATAAATGAGGCAGAGCTTGGAAAATGCTTCAGGTAATAAAAAGTGAAGAGAAAAAAATTGGGATAAAATGCAAATGAGCAGCTGATTATGCACCGAGTCCCTGAAAGTAATTATAAAAACAATGGTTCAGCTACAGGGGGATTGTGCTGAGAGAGTTTCTTTTTGAGTTAAATTCTAAATCCATTTTCACCTGGATTTTTCTATTATTAATATCATTAATTAAAAATGTTGTTATTTATTTATTTGATGCAGTTATTATCCATTTTAATATTAAAAATTAATAAATAAATAAGCCATAAAAAATTTGATCAATCACATTGTAAAAAACAATGGCTACCAATCTCTTTATGATAATTGTGAAAGAAAATAATTAATGATAAAAATGTTTTCGTAAATTTGTAATTTTTTCATGTTATTTTCCTGGTGAAATATTGGAAAAAATCCTTTAAAGTAAAAAATTGAGAAGAAAGAATTTATTTTTGATTAAACTCTTACATCCCTATAATTATGAGAATTAAGTTGAAATGTTATGAGAATAAATTCATATTTTTTATCAGAAAAAAGTCATAATATTATTAGGATAAGTCATGATTTAATTAATATTATTTTATTTTTTCCTTTAAGTGGCCCTTATAGTCATACAAAAACATATATATATATATATTCATGGTCATCCTGTTATGTATGTGTGAAATTAACATTTAACATTTAGTTATATAATATTATAAAGAGTGCATACAACAGTCACCTGAGAGTTATCATTAGAGGCCATTGTACAGAGATGATTAACCTGAATGTGCAGCTGATTTAATCAATCTTGTCGTGGGGTCAGAAAAACGCCTGATGATGAAGAAGTCACGACTCTCTGAAAGTGCTTTCAGAGAACAGCCCCGTTTGGTCTTCTCTCCATGGGGCGTAAATTAAAGCAAATTTATTCATCAAACCTAAATATTCAAGAAGAATTTCCCCCACAAGTGCTATTTTCTCTCTTTTTGAAAATCTTGCTGCGAATACTCACACGCAACCCTGTCACAGTAAATGAAGCTTGATGAATGCTGAAGCTAATATTAACACTACAGCATATTTGTTAAAAAACACAGTTTGAGTGGATTATCTGAGAACGCTGCAGGCTGGAGTGTTACAGTGCTTGTAATGGCTGTGAGGCAAACTGGACCAGATGGTGTTTGGATATCTATACTGCAACATACACTGTGTTCAGTGACTGTGAAGATACCCCACTCTTTACTGCCCACTTGTGGTGATGCTGCAGAGAAGGCAGAACGTGGAGACCCAGGGCCTTTTAATGAAAGTGTACGAGGCTGATGCTTGAATCTCCAAGAAGCTGCGGCACGAGCCAAATGTTTGCTAATGTTGTTGTTCCCATCTGCTCTGCTGTGATATGAAATCTGATACAGAGAGGTGTGGTTTATCAGATTCTGCAAATGTTATTATCAGAACCTGGAGAAAACCTGAACTGAGTTTCCGCCAGGTTCTAGTGCAGAACGTGGAGCCGTTGGTTTTTCAGTCTTCGAGCAAATATCTGATTAGTTGTTTTCTTTTATGCAGATTTTCTCGTATCCTTACCATGGGCCCCATTAGCTGAATGAGTAAATGAATTAGGAGGCCTGTATGGCTCTCACTCAGCACTTTGCTGTACACAAGTACACAAATCTCATCTGTCTATGTTACCTTGTGGTAACGGGTTGTTTCCGGTGCACACATCTCTCTGGTTGCAGCTGTTTAAGGGGAAATTCTTCTACTGCGACGGACTCGACATCAGTAACATCACCAATAAAACTCAGTGTCTGAACGCAGGATACCGCTGGATGCGCAGGAAATACAACTTTGACAACCTGGGACAGGTCTCTCTCACACACACACACACGCAAACACACACACATTTACATATGTTTAAATATAATGACTTATGTTATAGAGACTTGCTTTTTGTCCCCATAACAAAGACACACGCTCGTACAAACTGACTGACAGCATGACGCTGCTTTACATGTGTCTCGCTCTTCCAGGCGCTGATGTCACTGTTTGTCCTGTCGTGTAAAGACGGCTGGGTCAGCATCATGTATGATGGCCTGGATGCTGTCGGAGTGGATCAGCAGGTAAGAGCACACACACACACACACACACACACACACACAAAGAGAGAAATGAGGAGACTGTTAATCCCGTGTATTTTGTATTTCTCTGTGTTTTGTGTCAGACTCAGGTTCCATTTGATCTTGGGTTTGGGTTTTTTTTCAAGCAGAAAGGGGAAATGTTTCAGGAGAGAAGGAATATTTCAGGAGAGAGGGGAGGTGCACGGAAAGAGAGAAGGCAGATGGAGAAATAGATGTGACTTGACAGTGCTGGCAGTTTCACTGCTGACTCATTACTTACATTGTCTTCTTGTTTATGCTCTCTCCTCTTCTTCTCCACCCCACCTCACCCCTTGTTCATCACTCTTTGGTTCCCCCCTTTCTCCTTTTTGTCCCTACGCTACCTCCACACCTCCTTTCTGTCCTCTCTCTCTCTCTGTCTTATCTTCTGCTGCAGCCAATAAGAAACAACGACCCCTGGATGCTGCTGTTCTTCATCTCGTTCCTCCTCATCGTCAGCTTCTTTGTGCTCAACATGTTTGTGGGTGTGGTGGTGGAAAACTTTCACAAGTGTCGCCAGCAGCAGGAGGAGGAGGAGGCGCGGCTGAGGGAAGAGAAGCGACAGAAGCGGCTGGAGAAGAGGAGGAGAAGTGAGGAAGGGGATGGGAGGGTGGGGAATGGGAAATATGTGGACACCAGATTATCACAAAAACATGGGCACTATAGTAACAGACTCAACTCTTCTGTGGAGATATTCCTCATGAATTTGAAACATAGACTGAAACTAAAGATGGACGACATGACGGCTCCATTAAAGCGTCTTCTCTATGTTACTGGATTGGACACGGGCCAAATTATAAAAGGTCAAAGTCTCCGTCAATAGAAATGTTTCTCATAGATGGTTTCTGTTGTTTGAGGTCATTCTTCTCAAACTCTATTAATTTTTATATTGAATTACTTGACGCTGTAGAAATGGTTTGAAACGTCAAGTTTGGCAGCTTTGGTCCAGCATGTGTTTCAGTGGGACCTTGATATCGAGGCTCCCTCCCCTGATCGCTACTGGGCAAACTCTGGGTCTAGATGACGTCATTGGTGCGAGATGGCCGCGTCTGCATCCAGGATATATTTTTCTGGATAGTGGGAGACAGTGCAGCTGCGTCGTCCATCTTTACATAGAGTCTATGGTTTGTGACCTGGCTGCAGTTCCTTTCAGCCTCGGGAGCATTATTTTCAGTGCTCAGTTGCTTCACAACATCTGCCGGAGTGTTAATGTCGACTCTAACAATGACGAGGACATCACACACACATTCATCGAGACAAACTTGTTTGTTTATATCCTTTCAGCTGAGGAAGGAACACAGTGTTTTTCCTCAGTGTAAATGGGATGGGAAAAAAAAAAAATGGCAATCAAACAACTACTAAAATATTAGAAATGTGGCTGCTGAAGGACAGGCTGACAGAAAAAGGAACAACTGCATCCAGAGGACACTGGGAACGTGATGTGTTTGCAGTTCGTCCCAAAGGTGTCGGATGTGGCTGAGGTCAAGACCCTGCGGAGCCCAGTTCTGGAAAAAAAACATCCTTTTATTGACCGGACTTTGTTCACACAGGAGTGAGACTCCGAAGTTGGAGTCACATTATTGTCCTAAAACACTGCTCTCTGTAGCATTAAGAGTTCCCTTAACTTAAGCTAAGGGTCCGAACCATGAAAAAAAGCCCAGTGACAAAATGTATACAAGACAAGGGCGTCTGTGTACTTGTGGCCATTACGTTTTGATGTAATATTACACTCACAGACGATAAACCTATTTTTTCTGCATACAAGTAGTTTGAGCATGTGCATATTTTCAACCTATATAACACTCACTTAATGCCACTGCACACTCACTAACTCCCTCGCTCTCCCTCATTTGTACCTCGCTCTGTCCCCCTCTCTCTCTCCCCCTCTCTCTGCAGTGTAATCTGTAGTATTGCTTTTCTCTTTGTCAGTTAACTGTCTGGCAGCAGACAGCGAGGGTTTCTGCCCAAAGACACCTTGAGGTGCCATGGCGTGTGTGTATATGGGTGATGGATAGGATTGAATTCCTGAGGTGGCAGTTTTAGTCTGTACACACACACACACACACACACACACACACACACATATACTCGCACACACAGTGGTGCACAACTTGGCACTCACTTCATCAATGACTTCATAGCCCATATCGTATTTTTATTTCAGAAGTGTTTTAATGACTGTGTGTGTTTGTGTGTGTGTGTGCGACACAGGGGCCCAGGAGAAACCATATTACTCGGACTACTCCCCGCTGCGACGATCCATCCACACCGTGTGCACCAGCCACTACCTGGACCTCTTCATCACCATCATCATCTTCACGAACCTCCTCACCATGAGCATGGAGCACTACAACCAGCCTCAGGTAACCATGGCAACACCTTCTTCTACCTGTCCTAGAACCATAGTAATGAAGGTGCCGGGACAGTACAGCTACAGTGGGTTTTTGAAGTGTGTGTGTGTGTGTGTGTGTGTGCTTCCTGCAGTACTTCGAGGAAATACTGAAGTACTGCAATTATGTCTTCACGGTGGTTTTTGTCATCGAGGCCATCCTCAAACTCGTCGCCTTCGGCCTGCGCCGCTTTTTCAAAGAGAGGTAATCACGGACTTGCATGAAAACAAAGACGTTTCGAAACATACAGCGTCTGCAAACTGAAATTGTGTGTGTGTGTGTGTGTGTGTGTGTGTGTCAAGATGGAACCAGCTGGACCTTGCCATTGTGTTGTTGTCCATCATGGGAATTGCGTTGGAAGAAATCGACCTGAGTGCTTCCCTGCCCATCAACCCAACCATCATACGCATCATGAGAGTCCTGAGGATAACACGAGGTACACACACACACACACAGTGACACAAACAATAAAAGAAACTACACACACACAAACAAACAGGATGATATGTCACTGACAAGAAGTGCTGCGTTGTAATGTTTCAGTGCTGAAGCTCTTGAAGATGGCCACAGGGATGAGGTCACTGCTGGACACTGTGATGCAAGCCCTGCCTCAGGTAAGAGGCCGCACTGACGCTACAACACAAATAATGTGTGTTCAATCGCTCGCCTGGTTTCCAGATCTGATGAAACGCAGACAGCTTGTTTTATTAAGCAATTTATGAGGCCTGGCACCGACAGCCTCCCCCATGATTTACCGACATCACTGATTTCCCAGCCGGCTGGTGTTAACCCAGAGACACCAAATAACTACTCGACAGGCATTAAGTCACATGCATGTTTAGCTTAAGGCTAAATACTGATTCCTACATTGATCACCAGTTAAACTGTAACTTTATGTGCACAGAAATTCGTGGCTGCTCTGGTGCGGTTGTTTTGGTACACGCCATCCGTAAGAAGCTGAAATATGAAAGTCCAGTTAAAGTCTTATCGCACACGAAGACACCACACAGCAATCTATTGTCCTCTGAGGCAGGGTTGTAAAATTCTGTCAAGTTATAACGGCTGCAGTATTTCTCTCCGCTGTTTCACTGCTTGTGAGCTGGAGAGTAAAATTAGCGGAATGCTACAAGCCGAGAGGATTTCTGGATGGCAGCAGCAGCATGAGTGATTTTTTCTCTCTCTGCCGGAGCCCTCTGCAACGGCTCCTGTCTCATTGATGATGCTTTGTTTTTGATTCACTGCTATTGTTGGTCTCAACCAGAAATTCATGAGCAAGGACTGAAGTGCAGTGTCTCGGAAAACGTTAGTTAGCTTTGCACCAAGGATGTTAATGTCGACTGCTTGCAGAACCATTTTGGTCAAGACTAGACCATCCAGAATATTGCCATGACATTAATTAATCACAAGGCGAATTGTCTATAGTATTTAACTTTTTCAATTCTCAAAGCTTGTAGCATTCCCATCAGCCTCAAGGTCTTCTCAGATGGAAAACAATTTGCGCTCTGATGGCCACTGGGTTCAGAGATCAGCTGTGTCTATCTTAAGGGGCTTTCTGCTGTGTTGATTACTGATTATGAATGTACATCATCTCAACAAGCATTCGTAAACACAGGTGAAGGATCCATATTTTACGATACCGATTATTTTAGCTCCGAATACTGTAACTAAATTATGAAGTTATCGTAGATTGTGAGACTCTTTACATTCTTGATCATATAGAGGACAAAATGATCGTTAAATACGATAATTATCATAAATCTTGTTGAATATTAAATGGGTAGTGATTAGTGAATAACAGTGAACAAAGTGCTCGCTCGTTTTGGAAACTGTTCGGTTTCTCTATAATTTTTTATGATCTCGGTCTTTCAATGAAAAGTGCAGATAAAAACAAATAAAACTGAATTGAATTGAGAACAGTCAAGTATGACGTCGGATGTGGGGCAGTGCACGAAGCTTCAGGGAGTGTGGTGCATGAATAACAAACAAGAAACCCAGCACACATTTATCATCTGTTTGAGGTGTAGTCCTGAGGTGGACCCATTTTAGGATCTCCTTTCAAACTAGAATTCCAAAATCACATGGAGCTTCACATTAAAACACAGCTGTTCTCACAAACCAGTAGGGACCGCGAGCGACACATGGGGATTGAACCCTCTGCAGTGGAGTCCCCTGCGCTTCATCGGTTGTTCTCTGCATCATCTCACTAGACATCTCGACGAGGGAAGGCGAGTCAAGTCCATTTGAATTGCTTGCTGCGTTTTGAATACACAAACACGTTTGTCATTCATGAGGACTGGATCCAGGCTGTGAAAGTGTACCTGTGTTTCTGAAACTGAAATGTGAGATATGATTCAACTCCAGGTATCTCGATGGCTCCTGTTAGTTTCTAAGAAGTAGTAAACATCAATCCAGTAAGGCTTTGCTGTCTATGGCTTCTCTTCTATCTGTTTGCATGTTTGCATCGCTCACTCTCTCTCTCTCTCTCTCTNTGTGTGTGTGTCAAGATGGAACCAGCTGGACCTTGCCATTGTGTTGTTGTCCATCATGGGAATTGCGTTGGAAGAAATCGACCTGAGTGCTTCCCTGCCCATCAACCCAACCATCATACGCATCATGAGAGTCCTGAGGATAACACGAGGTACACACACACACACACAGTGACACAAACAATAAAAGAAACTACACACACACAAACAAACAGGATGATATGTCACTGACAAGAAGTGCTGCGTTGTAATGTTTCAGTGCTGAAGCTCTTGAAGATGGCCACAGGGATGAGGTCACTGCTGGACACTGTGATGCAAGCCCTGCCTCAGGTAAGAGGCCGCACTGACGCTACAACACAAATAATGTGTGTTCAATCGCTCGCCTGGTTTCCAGATCTGATGAAACGCAGACAGCTTGTTTTATTAAGCAATTTATGAGGCCTGGCACCGACAGCCTCCCCCATGATTTACCGACATCACTGATTTCCCAGCCGGCTGGTGTTAACCCAGAGACACCAAATAACTACTCGACAGGCATTAAGTCACATGCATGTTTAGCTTAAGGCTAAATACTGATTCCTACATTGATCACCAGTTAAACTGTAACTTTATGTGCACAGAAATTCGTGGCTGCTCTGGTGCGGTTGTTTTGGTACACGCCATCCGTAAGAAGCTGAAATATGAAAGTCCAGTTAAAGTCTTATCGCACACGAAGACACCACACAGCAATCTATTGTCCTCTGAGGCAGGGTTGTAAAATTCTGTCAAGTTATAACGGCTGCAGTATTTCTCTCCGCTGTTTCACTGCTTGTGAGCTGGAGAGTAAAATTAGCGGAATGCTACAAGCCGAGAGGATTTCTGGATGGCAGCAGCAGCATGAGTGATTTTTTCTCTCTCTGCCGGAGCCCTCTGCAACGGCTCCTGTCTCATTGATGATGCTTTGTTTTTGATTCACTGCTATTGTTGGTCTCAACCAGAAATTCATGAGCAAGGACTGAAGTGCAGTGTCTCGGAAAACGTTAGTTAGCTTTGCACCAAGGATGTTAATGTCGACTGCTTGCAGAACCATTTTGGTCAAGACTAGACCATCCAGAATATTGCCATGACATTAATTAATCACAAGGCGAATTGTCTATAGTATTTAACTTTTTCAATTCTCAAAGCTTGTAGCATTCCCATCAGCCTCAAGGTCTTCTCAGATGGAAAACARTTTGCGCTCTGATGGCCACTGGGTTCAGAGATCAGCTGTGTCTATCTTAAGGGGCTTTCTGCTGTGTTGATTACTGATTATGAATGTACATCATCTCAACAAGCATTCGTAAACACAGGTGAAGGATCCATATTTTACGATACCGATTATTTTAGCTCCGAATACTGTAACTAAATTATGAAGTTATCGTAGATTGTGAGACTCTTTACATTCTTGATCATATAGAGGACAAAATGATCGTTAAATACGATAATTATCATAAATCTTGTTGAATATTAAATGGGTAGTGATTAGTGAATAACAGTGAACAAAGTGCTCGCTCGTTTTGGAAACTGTTCGGTTTCTCTATAATTTTTTATGATCTCGGTCTTTCAATGAAAAGTGCAGATAAAAACAAATAAAACTGAATTGAATTGAGAACAGTCAAGTATGACGTCGGATGTGGGGCAGTGCACGAAGCTTCAGGGAGTGTGGTGCATGAATAACAAACAAGAAACCCAGCACACATTTATCATCTGTTTGAGGTGTAGTCCTGAGGTGGACCCATTTTAGGATCTCCTTTCAAACTAGAATTCCAAAATCACATGGAGCTTCACATTAAAACACAGCTGTTCTCACAAACCAGTAGGGACCGCGAGCGACACATGGGGATTGAACCCTCTGCAGTGGAGTCCCCTGCGCTTCATCGGTTGTTCTCTGCATCATCTCACTAGACATCTCGACGAGGGAAGGCGAGTCAAGTCCATTTGAATTGCTTGCTGCGTTTTGAATACACAAACACGTTTGTCATTCATGAGGACTGGATCCAGGCTGTGAAAGTGTACCTGTGTTTCTGAAACTGAAATGTGAGATATGATTCAACTCCAGGTATCTCGATGGCTCCTGTTAGTTTCTAAGAAGTAGTAAACATCAATCCAGTAAGGCTTTGCTGTCTATGGCTTCTCTTCTATCTGTTTGCATGTTTGCATCGCTCACTCTCTCTCTCTCTCTCTCTCTACTGTACATGTCTTTTTCTCTGTGTATCATACACTGTATATATCTGTGTGTGCCTGTAATATGTCCGTCTAGGTGGGGAATCTGGGTCTGCTCTTCATGTTGCTGTTCTTCATCTATGCAGCTCTGGGAGTTGAGCTCTTTGGAAAACTGGGTTAGTGTGTGTGCGCGTGTATGTGCATGCATGTGCGTGTGTGCGTGTGTGTGTGTGTGTGTGTGTGTGTGTGTGTGTGTGCGAGTGTGTGCATGCATATAAATCAGTGCTGATGTGCAGATGTCCGTGTGTGTGAGTGTGTGCGTGTGTGCGTGCCTCAGCTGACATTGGTGAGATACCCGTGGATTGCGTAACATGAATAAATTTTGTTGTGTTGCATACATTAATTATGTCAATTTAGAATCAATGTTCTCGTCAGTGCTTTAATCTACACACACTTTCTTCTCTCCCCTCGTCTCCCTCCTTCACACTCGACGCCTCTTACGCTCCCTCCCTCTTTTCGCCCTCTTTCAGAGTGTTCGGACGAGAACCCGTGCGAGGGCCTCAGTCGCCACGCTACCTTTGACAACTTTGGCATGGCTTTCCTCACACTCTTCAGGGTGTCCACCGGGGACAACTGGAATGGAATTATGAAGGTTATTTCTATCTCTCTCTCTCTCCCCTGGAGTTTTTAAGGCATATGCACAGACATATGCAAGTATCAGTTATGAGACAGGTGTTGCATTAAGCGGAAGGCAGATCACTGCTTTTACGACAGACTAAGAGCTGCTGATATTAGAGGGTTAGGAGGGTGCATTATTCTTCTTTGACAGGCTCAAGGTCCTTTCACGCTCAGATCAACATCCCCCCCTGTTGGAGAGGAGAGAAAACACAGCCTCCTGCGTTAATAGACCTGAATATCACCTTAATCCCTTTATCTGTTATCTGCTTCCTTTATTGCTTCATACATAATGTTAGTCCTCTTCTCTTATCACCGTCCCCCAGGACACTCTGCGCGAGTGTCGCCCGCAGGATCGCCACTGCCTCACCTACCTGCCCTTGATCTCCCCGGTCTACTTTGTCACCTTTGTCCTCACGGCTCAGTTTGTGCTGGTCAACGTGGTTGTGGCTGTTCTGATGAAGCACCTGGAGGAGAGCAACAAGGAGGCGCAGCTGGAGGAGATGGAGGAGAGGAAGGAGCGGGAGGAGAGGAAGGAGCAGGAGGAGAGGAAGGAGAGGGAGGAGAGGGAGGAGGCCAGCCGGCGTCTCAGTGCTGTGTCTTTGAGCGGAGCCCCCGGGCCGAACGTGGATGCACCTGCTCAGGTGACGTTCGGCATGTGTTCATATTTCTGCACGTGTGGAAGGGAAGGGAGGTGACACTGACGATGATGATCTCATGTGGCAGGTGCAGGTCGAGGATGAGGAGTGTTCCCAAGGCAACCTGCTGATCATGGGACGCATGATGTCTCTCCCCAGCGACAGCTACGTTCAGCCACTAAGATGTTCCCCTTATCCTCCCGTTGGACACGAGGCCTACTCCGGCTACAGCTACTCAGGTACTTACGCTATTTATAGCCAATTCAATTAAGGCAGCTGATTTTACTGTGCTAACTGATTGCTGTAAAGATTATTGCTTCCACAAATAGCTTAAAAGGCAGCTGGGGTGTGATGTGGCACCATGAGTGCCTCTGTTATTACAGGCCTGACAGAAGAAAAGACTATTTTCACAACATTGACAAACTGAACATAGAGTACATTGGTGATGGTCCTTTCCTAGAGCAGCTTTAGAACAGCTTATAATCAATAAAATAAATGTAAATATATTATTTGTTCAGCCCTGCTTATTTTCTGCTTTATGTCTTTATGTTTGTGTCAATACACTGAGAGCCACAGAAACAAAGTTAAATTCCTTGTTTGTACACACATGCTTGGTCAGTAACGCGGATTATGGCTCTGAAGTGCTCCACCCTATTCTGTTGTGTGATTGTTTACTTGTAACATTCATTTCTGCAGGCTCCATGTCGTCTCTGACCTCCAGTGGCGGCGGCTCCCTGCTGCAGGTTCCAGGAGCTCTGCCCGCCATCAGCCACGCGTCACTGGGATCCGGCCGCAGCTTGAGGCCCATGATCTGCCTCAGCACCTCCCAGAGCATCGACAGACACTCCCCACACAGACTCAGTCCTGCTGACAGCATGGAGGGCTACAGGCTCAGTCCCGCTCACAGAATAAACAGACACAGACTGAACTCAGCTCATAGCATCGACGGATACAAGTTCAGCCCGGCACATCGGATAAACAGACACAGACTCAGCTCTACTCGCAGTATGGACGGATACAGGCTGAACCAGGAACATAACACAGACAGACCCAGACTCATGTCCAGTCACAGTATGGACAGACACCCGTCCCTCAGACTGAGTCCCACCCACAGTGCCAGCAGACAGCCTTCTCATTGGCTCAGTCCTGAAGACAGTTTGGACAGAAACAAGTTGAGTCCCTCCTACGTCCCCGACAGTTCAGTCCTGAAGAGACCAGCGTCTTTCCACACTGCCAGCAGACAGCTACGAAGACAGGTGTGTTATCATCCACTCTTCTCTTCTCCTCTCTTCTTTTGTCTTCTCATCTCATCTCATCTCTTCACTTGTCTTGTCTTGTCTTGTCTTGTCTTGTCTTGTCTTCTCATCTCATCTCATCTCTTCTCATCTTTTGTCTTCTCATCTCATCTCATCTCATCTTTTATCTTCTCATCTTTTGTCTTCTCATCTCTTCTCTTCTCTTCTCATCTTTTGTCTTCTCATCTCTTCTCTTCTCATCTCATCCCTTTTCTTCTCATCTCATCTCATCTCTTGTCTTCTCATCTCATCTCTTCTCATCTCTTCTCTTCTCTTGTCTTCTCATCTTTTGTCTTCTCATCTCATCTCTTGTCTTCTATTCTCTTTTCATCTTTTGTCTTCTCTTCTCTTCTCTTCTCATCTCATCTCTTGTCTTCTATTCTCTTTTCATCTTTTGTCTTCTCTTCTCTTCTCATCTCATCTCTTGTGTCCTCTTCTCTGATAATATATAATAATAAAATAAAGCTTGATTAATAATATGAAGAATACAATTTAAATTTTAAAAAATGATGGTGGAAGGTACAAAAAATGTTTTTTTTAATTATTTATTAATTGATTTACATAAATTCAACTGAAAAATCACATCTTTGCTCACCTCAACATAGATTTTTATAGACTGAGTCCTGATCAAATAATTCTAAATATTTGCCACAAAAGTTCCCAAGACACTTTGCAATGCAGCTGCTCAGCCGTTATACAGCCAGAGGTGTTTGTTCAGGTCTCCAGATTCAGCCAGTAACACAACACACATGGTTACACACATACACCTGTGGGGGATGTAACACAAAGTCACACTATTGTTGTTAGGTGATGAGGTGCAGACTTTTCACCTCTATCTGTTAAAAAATGAATGGAGTTACAGTAATTAAGAATTACGTGTTCACAGTGATGGATTAAACAAACCAAGACAATTTCAGTAATGGAAATTGATGATGCCTGGAATTGGAGGAAAATTGGCAACGTTTGCAGAATCTTAAACAGAACTGGAAAAAATAAGACTTGTAGTAAATGAGCTAAAACAACAGATATAATTCTTCTTTTAAGATTCGTTCTGTCTAATTTTTCCCTGACCAGTGATTCTTTGTTGAGCTGAGGTGAACACATATTTCCTGGTAGTTGAGTATTGGTAGATTTAAGAAAATATCCACTTTAGGTTAAAAATATCCAGTTTACTCAGAAGAAATTATTCCAATAAGAAAAATTCAACTACATTTGTTGTCGTCCACAATAAGAGAAGATATTGATGTGATATGAACGAGAGCCCATTTTGTTCTTGGACCTGTCATGATGTCATCAAGTTTGAAAAGGGGGTGAGATTGAAGGTGATTGGAGAGGAGGGCGGGTCACAGCCAATCACTGAAATGACAGATTTATAGTTTGGTGGAATCAACACGATTGGCTGATTGAGATCATGGCAAAATCTGATTGGATAACTGCAAACACCCCACAGTCAGCTGATTAGAAGAGAGAGGCAGAGAGTGAATGGGACAGAGACAAAGTCTCTCCCATGTTTCTTAGTGTAGCTGTTGTGTTGTGTTGCACGAACAAAGATTCTCTGTACTTCATCATAAATCATTACAAGATTGTTCTTAAGCGCAGGATGTGATGATGTTGAATTAATTCTTTAAAAAAATGCTGTGCTTTATTTTATATTTTAATCCAGGTTCATCTGCAGTCGTCCACAATTGTTTTGTCTGTTGTCTTCATTTAATTCATTCACAGATTTTACTCTTCAGTTGTGCTGAGTTATCACATCGTACTCAGTCAGTGTGTGTTTGTGTTGTTTCTGCAGGAGGCTGTGCGCTGTGATTCACTGGATCAGAGCGGTTCAGTGGAAAATCTGGCAGAGCCTCACCTTACTGTGCCCACTGTCTCTTCCACGCCACCACGCCAGCGATCGTCCAGTGTGCACACGCTGAAATATACACACCCTCAGAGGGTCATCTCGTGCCACAGCCACAGCCGGAGCCACAGTGAAACCACTGGACGTGAACATGAACCTGAGCAGGCCGGCGGCGGCTCGCAGGCAGACACAAAGGTTGAGAAAAGCCCTGTCAGTCCACAGAGCTTTTCCAGTCTGAAGGTTTCCAGCGGCGAATCCACCCAATCAGCTCCGCTCTGTGGCTCCAGAGGGCCCAGCTTTAGCCCCGGCTCCAACATGGGGCCACAGTTGGACGACGCTGATGAGGAAGTCAGCCGCATAAACAGTTCTGTTCACACTGACTCACACACACAACTTCCTCCCAGCTCCTCACACAAAACCAGACACCTTACCCCGAGCCCCGGGGAGCACAGGAGCCGCCTCAGCCAATCAGTATCCCCAGTGTCGGGCAGGAAGAGGAAGCAGAGGATGAGCCCGCCGCCGGGGGAGGAGCCAGTCACTATGGCAACCCAGCTAATTGACAGCAGCATTGAACTGAGGAGGCGAACTCTGTCATTTGACGCCACGAGCCTCTCGCCTAATCAAGCAGAGGGGAGCTCCGTGGACGACTGAACTCAGACGGGTGGATGGATTGGTTATTCTCTAAAAATGGAGGCGACAAGTGTGCAGCTGGAGCGCACGAGAGGGGCGGGAGTCGCATTCCGAAACAGGAAGGATTACCGATTTCCTGTTTCAGGCCACGCCCCTCGCCTTGTCCCGTCCAATCACAAGATTCCACCACGGTGTTTGAGATGAACTCATTCAGACTGTGTATGATGTTTGAGTGTGTTCAAAGACTTTTATCCCTCTGTGCTATTTGCACACAAGATGCACACAAGGAGACGTTTCCTTTTCTTCCCTCATAGTTCTAGCTTTAGTTCAGACACAGTAGTCTCTCTCCTGCGATATTTACCCAATCACTAACTTAACCCCTGCTTGTGCTCCTACTTCTACCCCCACTCTCATCCTGACCCTTGCATCTCAAGCCTAGGTCAGAGTACAGGACCGGATCACAATAAAGGTGCAGTACAGTTAAGTTACTGCGTAGAGACATGGAGACAGAAAATATAGAGACTTCCACCAATGATTATTTCAAGTACTGATTAAAGCTTGGGTTGGTAATCCTGGAAAAGCTAAGAAGCGCAGGCTACACTTTGAAATTATGCAACCGATACATCCCGACCTTCTCCCATCGGCCCCTCGTCAAAGCTACGTCTCCACATGAACGCTCACTGCCTGGCGACTTTACCGCGACTCGCTCACACAACGAGAGCACAAGATAACGGACAGGGTGCAGGCAGGTTGATTCTGTTCAGATGAAATAATTGGTCGTGTTTGCTCCAGTCCTCCGAGGGCCACAGACACCAGCTTTTTTTCTTTCTTTTATTTCTCTGAAGAATTTAATGAATGCTCTTGAGACTTGAAAAAGTTTTCTATGAATAAGTTAAAAAGTGAGAAACAACTCGCCAACAATTCCTTTAATCTGCGGATCTCTCAAAAAACATTGTCTTCAAACCCAAGGTGATATCTTCAAAGACTAATGAGAATCAAACCCAATGTTCATTATGCTTGAAAAACTATTGCATATTTTATTTATATTAAAATGAATATTGAATTCATTTGAATTATTAAAATTCAAACAGCTACCATCAGATAATCACTTACGCTGCATCTACAAACAGCATCAATTATGCCGCATAAGATTTTGCAGAACCGTTTACTGAAACTGTTAAAGTCTCTACTTTTCTTGCTCAGTGGTGCAGAAATTTGCTTTTTTAAATGATTAAACTTACAAAAGTTAAAGCTTTTTATATGAAATTGCTTAATTTGTAATTGCACACTTCTACGGATCGTTTTGTAAGAGACATATTCCTGCAAAAACAAAAAAACGAATTGAACAGCAGTGGAGTTTTTAGATGTTAAATACGACGTCTATTCTAATTTTTTTACCTCTTGACCTGCAGTAAACTGCCAATGGATGCAGCTCGATCATTCTCAGATTTCACTTTAACAAAACCTCGATATCTCCGTGATTTTTCTAGGATTTTTTCCTCCACGCTTGAAACCACCCTAACCTGACAGTAAAAAAAAAAGAAATTTGCTGTTCGAGCCCCTACGTTAAATTCCTGTAGTGTGACCTAGGCTTTATTAGTCTCTACCTCGCTTCCTCCCCATTCAAATGTTTGCATAGTTTTCTCACTTCCTCTCCTTCCACTTTGCTTTTCTCTGTCTTAGTATTCTCAGGGTAGAGGTAGATCAGACGCAGGTGAGTGTGAAGCATGCGATCACAGGCCTGCAGACGTAAGGTTGCCCCCTGCTGTCAGAAGCCAGAGCTGACGCGAGGGTCGGCGGATGTTCGAGGAGATAATTCTGTATTAAAGGGTGCAAGGTGAAATTTTGACTGAAGCAGATGCACTGAAGGGCTTATTCCGGTGATGTAACAGTGTGTAAAATCTTTGTAGAAAAAGGCTGACACTATATTTTATTAACACGGCGGCGATGTGACGAGAGCTTCAAAGGTAACTTTCTACAGTTTCGAATGTCACTTTATCTGCAGGTGCTGGATTGAGAGGATGGATGACGTCAGTGTTTCACAATGACGATGATGCTCGTGATGACTCTGGATGATGCAAATGTTTATAATAGTATAAATATATATAATGTTCCTGCAGATTCTTGGAAGCAGAGAAGGGACGTACGGTGAGCTCACCTGCAGAAACATGATTGGACAGTGCTGAAATAAAACCACTTCCTTTCTGACTTTCCTTTGACTCTGTGACCTTGCTTCTAACTCCGTCCTCTCGCCCTGCAGAAAGAGATTCAAACACACGCACAGTGGGAGTGGCTGTAGACCTTCAACGGGAGCTGTTTAATCTAAAAATAAAGCTAACACGCAGCTGCCGCCTGCTGCTGCTAATCACTTCGTCATAACTCGAGTACCCTCTCTAATTATAGTCTTCCAGCAGACGTTGATTCACATCCTCACATCTACAGTACATCTCGATACGTAATTATGTTAAAAACAGTTTGTCACGTTGCACGATGCAAAAGAAGGAGAAATTATTTAAAGACCAAGCGATGGGAACAAAGGCGGACTCGCAGCTCTTGTGGTGCTGGATATGTTTTATTTTTCATATTTCATTATTCCACTTCAGCATATCACAATAAAATATTTAAATACATGAATATTTCACACTGGAACACTATAGCGTTCAGAATGCATTAAGCTGACCTGCCTTTATTTTCCTGCCAAGAAAATGTACCAATTACAGCAAGTTCTACCCCCCCCCCTCACTCGTTTGCTCACAATCTATTGGTCAAGGCGCCTGTCTGTGTCAATTCCAGCCAATGGGAGGCCACGTGTCTGCAGGGCAGCTTGTGATTGGAGAGGGAGGCTGAGGGCAAACAGATCTGTCAATACTCCATAAATATATAAGACCTTGTGTCCTTTAATTTGGCAGCATCATCACTGATCTACATCTATGTTAATCTGCACTTCACCATATGAACATGCAGTCAAGGTGTGTGTGTGTGTGTGTGTGTGTGTGTGTGTCCTTCCAGGTGTATAAACGTGTGTCCAGGTGAACACGTAGATCTGTTTCCAGGTGTGAGTTAGTACAGCTGTGGTTTGAGTGCGTCTGTGTGTGTGTGTGTGCAGGAAAATTAGACAGTATTCATGACACAGAGAAGTCACAACTAACAAAGCTCAGCCAGCAGTTGCCATGGTGAAACTAGACCGTACAACACATGACCCCAAATCCCACCAGTCCCAGGAGAGGATGGAAAGCCACAAAACAGCGAGGCAGGAAGTTGTCTGTGCAGCGTTGATCATGTCACACCTCCTCTTTCTTTCTCTCTGTCCATGTGTCTGTCTCTAGAAGGCCGGAGCCATGGGTCTCTGCTGTGTGAGTTTCTGCGGGTCCAGGGTTTCAGTGAAGGGCGGGGCTTGATAGGGGTTGGTGGTTACTATGGTAGCACCGTTGGCGATGGGATACGGCGTAGCTCGAGCGTTACCGGGAGCGGCCTCCAGATGTTGCCATGTGAACAAGTTTGTGTTGCTGCCAGTCAGGAAGCGTCGCAGCGCACTCAGCGTCAGCACAGTCTGTTAGTAACACAAACACACGCGTTAGCAGAGGCTGTTAGTTACACACTGATTTATTTACAAAGCAAATATCAGATTAGTGTTGCACCACTTTTGAAAAATGCAAACATGATGTGTCTGACGTTCACCATCTTAGTTTGGCAGGTAAACACATGGTGAGGGACGCCATTTTCTGTCCAACCCGACCAAGAAAAATCTACCTAAGCCCAACTCTCAAACCCAAGTCTGACATTTTCACAGATTACAGAAAAAATGACTGAGCCCAGCCAGCGTGACCGAACCCATCCCGACAAATATCATCTCTCTACTGTATTCAAGTACAATTTTAAGGAACTTCTACATTTCATGCCCCTTTATACCTATAAACTCTGCTACATTCTGTTAGCAAATGTACCTTTATCCTCCTCACTCAATTTATCTTGCAGTTGAATTTATTTTTCAGATAAGTATTTTATATACAAAATATTGGCTTTTATAAGATAGAGACTATTTTATTTATTGATAAGCCTGTGATCTTATTAGCTTGTGGTCACTTATAAATCTGTGTTTGAACCCTTGATGAGATTTGAAACTTGTTGGCCAGAGAGCCCAGTCATAGCGTAAACATGCAGCAGGGTATAAACCTCATGTAATATTTGACACCGGCTCAGCGATGCAGCAGAGGTGACATTATTTTCTGATTTGTTGAGTGACTATCTTAATAGCGTCAGCTGGAAGGAACGCCACGCTGCAGCACAGGGAAAATGAAGTCGCTTGACATTGTTATGCGTCAATTCGATTTATTTACTTGTTAATCAAAGGTTAATAAGATACCCCTTCCCCCTGAGCCCTGCAGAAATTGAGTTCTAGAAACTCATCTGCAATGTAGATACAGAACAGTATGTCCTGTCTTCTTAAGTTCCTGCAGTGGAAAAGCTCACGTGCAGTTTTAGTGCAGTTACACAAACAGGAAAGAAGGACTGAATAAACTTTTGTGGTTAAAAGAAAAGTCAACTGAGTCAGTTCTGTACTTTCACATGTTGGACTCAGGAGCAAAGGTCAGTCCATCCTGACCCTGAGTAGCTATTGTGTCAAACTCACAAAGTCTGGATCCTGAATTTCCCGTACTGAGACTAAACAGCAATTTTGCCTGGTAAACCCCTCATCTTTCAAGCTCCATTCCCTTTTTGTAACACATTTATTTTTGATCAAAAAACAGTAAAGTCTCCAAGCATAGAATCGATCAACAGTTGTGAAACCACTCAGAAGATTTTCTCAGACTTTAGAAGGCAAGAGGACATTAAACATGTTTTCACAGGCTGAGTTGAACTCCTTAAACCCACTAGACTTCCCCAAAAAGTTTCCAAAGTTAAAAGAACATTGATTTTGTTCTTTGACTCATGCTATGAATTCTCTTATGAAGAATATCAGAGTACTTTACCACAGGATTAAAACAATCTTATGTTAGAATAAAGAGACAGAAGGAAGGGTCTTAGGCAGCAGCCACTGCTTGTCCTCCATGAAGGAAAGGCTCTTACATGTGTTCATAGCCAGAAGACACTGATAACCCTGAAAACATGACACACACCGCTGGTCACACACACATTTATGGTGATGATGGAGACACATTCACATGAATGGACACACACAGAGGACGGGGTACACACAGATAAAAACATACATACCCAAGAGAGGATGGAGAAGAAGCAGAAAGCAATGGTGGCTCTGGCGGCGTCGGAGCCCTGGGCCAATGGCAGCTCATCTGGAGAGGTCGCCTGCCACTGATTGGCCAGAAAACAGAAGCCAACGAACCACAGGAAGCTGGCAATGCCTGGAGGAGGGAGGACGAGAGGCTGTTAGGTTGTTAAAGGCTCATGCGGATCATCTTTTAATTATGTTCTTCACTTGAAAGTTGTTTCTTTTTAACTTATATTTCTAGCCAGGCTAGCTGTTTCCTTTTCTGTGCTAAGCTAAGCTAATTGGCTGCCACTGGTAGTTTCATTTTAATTGTACAGACTTGAGAGTGGTGTCTTTCTTCTCCTTTAATTTTTAAAGAATTATCTTATTCTGTCTTTCATCTCGTCCAGTTTTGTCTTCCACACTTTCATTACTTAAATTGTTTCCATTTGCTTTTTTATATTTTTGGTTTTTAATTTGTTGCCGATTTAATTCTAAACCTTTGAGATCTGTCCATGATATCTGGGTTTAAACTATATACCGGAGAAGACGAGGTCCAGCAGGACGGCACGTCTTCTGTCCCGGATGTTGCTGATGGAGGGAAAGTAGACGTCCAGGATCAGGAAACAGATGCTGCCCAGGAAACAGGCCACGCCCACAGTGACACCATAGTTACAGGCGTCGGCGTTGTTGTTGAAGACGCAGAGCAAACGCTCGCTGCCGATGTTGATGTAGCCCTCGTTCACGATGCAGCTGAACACCACAATGGAGAAAACCTGCAGGGAGAGACACGTGGGCTGGTTTATTATTATAACGGGTGAGAGAGAATGAACTCACACTGATGTATGAATGAGCTCTCATTCCTCATACAGGCCACACAATACAAACACTGTTTTCTAGTGTGAAGGGATGAGAGCAGAGAGAAGTAATGAAGATGCAAACTATGTCTCTTTAGTATAAAGGTTTATTTCACCCAAAAATACAAACCAAACATCATATTTTCACCAATTACCTCAACTGATACATATTCAGCCGTGCAGTCGTTATAAACAGTCGGCCAATTTGGTGAAGTTGGGATCAAGAAACTACATTTAACTAGATAAAGGGTCATTTCACTCAAATTACAAAACATCTTCCCATTCACTGTTAATTGTAAAGAGCCAGTTTCAGCTCAGGGACTTTGAGACCTCCTCCGGTGATAAAACCAAACGAGCTGCGTGTCTCTACACAAAGTATTTTCTGGTAACTTCCCTAATTTCTCTTATTTTATAGACCTAATGATTCACTGAGAAAATAACAGGCTGATTCAATTCAATTTTATTTGCACATATGGTTGAGACCCTAAATTAATCAATAATGAAAACTTCTGGTCTTTCAGGTTTCCATTGTTTTATGACACTGATCTGCACCAGGTTTTTCATATCTGAAAAGCTTCTTCTTTCCAATTGACGGTTCCAGATGCTTTGTTTCTATCGTGAATGGAAAATTGCTTCTGACAAACTGAGCTGCTTTGAATTATAAGACACAGAGACAGAGGCTCGACGTGTGACTTGCTTTGTCTGCTTCGAACCAGGTTGTTGTGTTGTGTCTTCAGTGCACATTACAGGTCTGTGTGGTGACTCACATGCAGACACAAAGATGTGTCACCTCTGAATCTGAAGCCGAGTGCAGACACAAAGAGGCCCAGATAAACATATGGTAATCACACCGTGCAGCTGCAGCTCCAACCTGCAGCTGCAGCACTGAGGTCGCTTGTGTTCATGATGAGACATTAGCACCACAACACATCTCTTTATTACGACTGGTTTCCATTCATCTCATGAGCGGTGCAGGAGCTGCAGCAGCGTGTGAATGGGAGGCAGACAGAGGTGGGGGTGCAGGCCCATCCACCGATAATCACATTGCAGAGGCTTCTTACCCACGACATCAGTCTGAGGACGGTCCGGGGATGCGTGAAGAAAGCGACCGGATCGAAGGCGACGCTCCCGGCCTTCCCGGCGCCGTACGCGCCCGCTGGCTCCATCCCGCCGGGTGTGTGCAGCCTGACGCCCGCAGAGAGAAGGAGACGAGGTGGTGAGAGAGCAGCGGAGCGGCGGCGTCCTCCTCCTCCAGCTCCGAGTGAAGTCACAGCGCGTCACCGCGAGCAGAGCGCAGGCTGCTGCGCGTTTACCGCCGGTTCTCATGGAAACACTCTTCTTATTATATCTGGTTCTTAGAGGTCCTGAAGACCCCCCCCCCCCCACAACATGATACATGTGTGTTTGTATGTTTATTTAGGCTGTATAACATTTCCCATGATGACTATGTTACCTTAGTGAGTATTATATAATATATTATATAATTTAACTCACCCTTAGAAAAAAAAATGCCATAAGACAACCTTTTTAGGTTCTGCAAAGAACCTTTCAATTATTGGTTCTTCAAAGAACCATAATCAACAAGTTCTTTAAACCCAATTGCTCTTAAAAAGGTTCTTTAGCGAGTAAAGGTTCCCCAGAGCACTTGCGAAGAACCAGATTTTCTTAAAGTGTGGTGTGATCGTTCTCTCTTTTACATAATTCTGTTGTTGAGACAAAACATGTTAAGCAGATCAAACTTCTTGTTTTACACAAATAAAGAGTTTTATTTACAATCTATTAGCCAAGACAATTCGTAAAGAAAGTGATAAAAAACAAATCTGGATCTGCATCTGAGTTCTTTCTTGGCCAATTCTGCATCCTTCCACCAAGTGTGGTGGTAATCCATTGTGTAGTTTTAGTGTAATCTTGCTCCCATACAAACAATCAAGCAAAGGGTTACAAATATAATCAAAAACATATATTTGTATGTTTGTATGGGAGCAAGATTACACTTCCAGTCCTGGTTCGGGGTCTTTCTTCGTGGAGTTTGCATGTCCTCTCTGTGTCTGTGTGGGTTTTCTTTGGCTCGTCGACTCCTGAGACAAGCAGACAGAAGCTCACTGAGGTTGAATAACTGAAAAACCTTGCAGCCATCAGAGTTTTCAACTGAAGACTTTATTAGACTTGATCGCACACACAGTTAAGACAGTGTGAGGAGATAAAACAAGATCCATGTTTAGAAAGTACTACACACACACACACACACACACACACACACACACACACACGTCTCTTTGTTCTTATATTAAAGCTCATCTTTAGTTTTGTTGGCGTTTTTCGCCTCCTCTGCTTTTGCGGCCTCGATGTACTTCTTCCTGTCTTCATCCTCCTGGTGACACAAAGGAGACAAGTCTATTTTTAACAGAGAATAAAGGAAGCTCTCAAACACACACACACCAACTCACACAAACTCACACACAGTCAAAGCTCAGCTGGCGAGGAAGATGATTTTACCTTAACTCTGTCTTTTTTGGCTTTTTCCATCTCTTTATCTAAAAACTTAAGCAGGTCCTTCACTTTCCTTTTCCCGGTGTAAACCACCATCTGATGAGAGCACAGGTCACACACATCAACTATGACAGATCTGCAGTTTGTCACACACTGTGAACATCCACAACTAGGTTGCATTTTGGAGATTAGATTTGGTTTCACACCCTTTCAGCGAACAGAGCGGGAAACAGGCTGAGCGATGGGTAGCGTCCCTGCATCGACATGTTGATGTCATTGGCAGAAGCGTCGATGCGAGCGACCACCACGTCCTCTCGCTCCTTCAAGGCCTCGGCTAGTTCCTCCCACAGCGGGAACAGAGCGCGGGACTCCTGACTGTACGGCAGATCTGAGGAGCACACAGTGAGCACTGAGGTGAAGAAGAGGCTTCTACTTGGGATTTGTGACCTTTGAATCTGTGCTCACTGTGCAGACAGCGGTGGTGTGTCGGCGTAAAGTGTGTTTACATACAGAACAGGACAAAAACAGTCTTGTCAGGGTTAAAGGCGACTTTCTCCAGAGTCATTCCCACCAGATCCTTCACCGGATTCTTGTCCCATCCTTCAGGGATCGGCTCGCTCTGCATTTTCGGCTGTTGAAACATTCAATACTTCAGCTCGACCTGTCGTCCCAGTTTCAGTTGAGTTTCACTCAACGGATGCGAGAGTGAATTACCTTAGCTTTGCCCCCGAGGTAGGACTGACAGAATGTCTTTATGGTCTCTGCGTCCAGAGAGTCAGAGGGCAGGTGATAGGTCACATGGTCTGTCAGGTTGACTAAACGGATGACAGGAGCCTCAAAATCTCGTACTCTGAAGTATTCCATGATCCTGCCATTACGAGGCTCATCCACGTTCACCCACACAAATAAAATCTGAACACACACAAACAAAGTAAGCATGTGTTGTTGAAATGCTGCTTTGAAAGAATAGTGTGTGTGTGTGTGTGTGTGTGTGTACATGTGTGTACCTTCAACCTGAATGCCCCTGCAGCGTTGTTAAAGGCAGAGTAAATCTCTTGGAAGTCTGCAGAGGTTTCGTTAACAAACAGGAGGGCGTGGTTCAACACAGGCGAGCTTAAGATCTGATTGGCTGTCTGCAAGAGATGAATAAAACATGAATGTACTCAGTCCACATCACAGACTGTATATTAAGATCTTATAGGTGATACACAGTGCAAATAATCCAAGACACACAAAACCACACACAATCACACACAATCACACACAATCACACCATTCCATTAATATTCACAAACAATCCCAGTGAGTTTAAACACAAAAACACAAAAACTGCTCCAAGCTGCAGTGGAGCAGTTACAGTGTGTGTGTTTGTGTGTGTGTGTGCGTGTGTGTGTGTGTGTTTGTGTGTGTGTGTGTGTGTGTGTGTGTGTTAGTGTGTGTGTGTGTGTGTGTGTGTGTGTGTGTGGGAATACTGAACCTTTCCGGTGTATTCAGTGACTGGGTCCATCTGGTAGACAGTGATAAAGATGATCAGCTCCTCTTTAGATGTCTGAGGCATCATTTTATAAGCCTGGATGAGCTTAGACTGCAACAAACACACACAGACATACACACAAACAAATACACACACACACACACACACACACACACACACACACACACACACACACACACACAGGTATGAATGCCATGAACTGCTGGTATTTCTGTTTACACTCGTACATATCGAAAGTTTCTTCACACAGTGTGTGTGTGTGTGTGTGTGTGTGTGTGTGTGTGTATGTGTACCTTTTTGAGCAGCAGAACAACATCATGAGTGAGACCATATTTACTGATAACTTCATTGTTCTGTGTCACAGCAAAGCTGAGGTCAGGAAGGTCGATGGCTGCGGAGTAGAACAACTGGACGTACTCGTGATCCAGCTCCTGCACACACACACACACACACACACACACACACA